TGAAATCTAACCACCAGTGCCCCCAGGAGACCTATCAGTTTAACTTGCCCAAGGTCCAGACATCGGTTTTAGGTGAACTGGCTCAGATCATTCACACTTAAAGCCACTTAATGTGTTATATACTTGTGAGAAAGTGTGACGTACAGTGAAAGTTTTCAGGAGCAGTGTGCACTTGTCAAGTCTAGGCCTTCAGCCTATAGTTAGTAACTACAGGAGATCACAGTCCAGTTAAAAATAGTTTGAAGGTTTAAGTGTGTGTCTGTCCATAGCTGGAACATTTAGACGTATGTAGACGAAAGTTCTTATAGACTAGCTAGTAACATGTGTTCTTAAAGTGCACCTGTACTTAAATAGCAAACAAATGCTGTGAAGTGGGGAAGGGGGGTGGGGGGTTAGTAGGGAAACTAGACTCCTCTTTACTTAGCTCTACCAGTGATGAAGGTTAAAGCAATACAGCAATATTTGGCAATTTGTTGGCCAAAGATTGAACCTTTATGTCAAAAGAAACTAAAGGGTGGTTTCGATCAGCCACAAGAAAGTAGGATTGGAATTGCCCTGATCAAATTTGATCATATTTAAAGACATTGCTATCATTTTGATCCAACCTTTATTAAAGCGTATTGAAGCTGTCAATTTAAGGCCCAGTTACAAATTCACAATTGATCAAATTCTGGTAGCTGATTGGACTTGTGAGCAGTAGATTGCTTTGTTTTCGGTGAATACTTGTGAACATATTTGTGATTCCCTGTGGATAGAAAGTTGTTGAAATTGAGTTTTTGGAACATTTACATTGGCTTAGTATAGTATTGTATGCATGTTTACCAACAAAACTTTGATACATTGTGGAAGAGAAAAGCTCATGGATCACTCAACATCTTATAACACTGTAAATGATGTCAACCTATCACCTAACCTTTTTATAATATACATGTTCTAAGTGACAAAATAAAGAATCCGTGTATAAGACCTAATTGATATGGGAGGGAGGCTTAAGTTGACAATAAACTCAGGAGTTCAATCTTGAAAATGCATTCACATACATTAACTACTAATAAAAATGTATCTTATTTGTGTATCACTCGGCTGTAGATCCTCAAATCATCTCTGAATTGGTGCGGACACTGTCCTTCCTTCTGGAGGGGGGCTACTTTTGTTTCCTATGGTCCCTGTATGTGTTGTAAAGTAGTCACCGCTCCAAGCTCACTCCCATGATGGACTACAATCTCAAGTTTAGTTTACTAATTTGTATCAAGATTATAGTCCATAACAGGAGAGAGCTTGGAGCATTGAATATGGGAAACAAAAGTAGCCACCCTCTAGAAGGAAGCACAGTATCGGCAGTATCTTGAGTTTAGTGTCACTTTAATATCACCTTTTTAACCATCATAATGGGGGGAAAAAATCAACGGGCCATCTTCCTTACCGACTTGCTTAGCAGCATATGATTCTTTCCAGCACTGAAGCAGTAACAAACACTCAAAAGCAGAAAGTCTGCAATCTAAGGTTAAAGTTTATATTTTCTATCTGGTTCCGGGATCCGTTAAGACTGTTTTGTTGACTATCAGTCAGTAGGCAGAAAATATAAGGGCCCAGATTCTGTCAACGTTTTTCAAAGTTATGTCTGTCTCTTAGGACTTTCATTGTTTTTCATTTGTACACTTATTTTCTTTGCTCTTTTGTTAGCTGGTGTTCCATAAGGTTCTGTTCTTAAACCCCTTCACTTTTATCTATCCTTATGGTCATGACCAGCTGACTGGCACAATTGGCTTTAATCAAGATACTCAATCCTTTGGTTTCTGATCCCTACTATTTCTTGAGGATTTACCATCTTTGTTTTCATACTCTTTTACTTCCATAAACTAATAATCAATAAAACAAAATATGTACCTTTCCACCATCTTCCTTTTCTTCCCAGACATAATTATTTTGGAACCCTCACTTCTCCAGGCTTGTTGCTCAGAGGGTGATACTTGATTCCTATCTCTCATTTAAAATCCACAATCACCCACTAAACACCTTCTGTTATCTCTTGAACATGAGTCCCACATTCCCTCCTTCCTAATGAATGATACTACTAAAATGCTTGAACATGTCATCATCGTATCTCGGCTTGACTGTTGTTACAATCTTCTAAGTGGTCTGCCAACCGACTTATGCGGCTAAAAGCCATCCTGTACTCTGCTGCTGAACCTCTCTCCTGGTTACTTCTCTCTTTAAGTCCCTCCACTGGCTGCCAGTTACTCAGGAAATTCAACTGTAACCTACAGAGCTCTCTACAGTGTAGCCCTTCCATACATTTCCTAATTTCCATATACCATCCCTGACACAACTTCTGCTCTATGCATGGCTTTCTTTTCTCCTCTACTTTAGTCAACTTCTCTGGAATTCTTCCCACATACCATTCAGCACTCCCGACCCATCTTCTCAGGCAAGCATACAGTCTGAGCTGTTGTTCCAATCAATGACAGATCCATCACTGCTTGGACATACGTCAAGGCAGACGCTATTGCCTCATATATAAAAAGTAGAACTATGGCCTACCATTAAAAAAAAAAAAAAAATGTGCTACAACACTTAAATATAAGTGTATCTTCAAGGGGCATGGCTATTAGTATTGTGACTTATTCACAAGCTTATAACCTGTCAATTAACACCTGGCCACACCTAGTCCTGCCCACTGCTTTCCGCATTGATAGCACTGCCTTTGTTGCTGAAACCCTCCCACTGTGAGCTGCAGTGCCTCGGAGGGAGAGCGTGTGAGACAAAATGAAGGAGGATTTGGCTCAGTCAGGGGTGTTAAAGAAGCGTTTCTTGTTTGCTTTGCAAGGCTTGTGCATTACACATTAACAGGATTTGGAAATTGTTTAGACTCTCATACTGGAACCTTTAGTTGTAGTTTAATGAAGAATTCCAGGAAATTGTTTTCTTTTAAAACTGCTGTTAAATCTAGAATATTAAAGGAGAACTATGAGGTGAGTGATTTTCACTCATCCTCATAGTTAGAGCCGAAAAGTGACAAAGAAGCTGTCACAGGTCGGCTCTATTGATCGGGAAGTGAGCGAGCACATACCGTCACTCGCTCACTTTCCGATCATCTCTCTGCAGAGAGCGGTGACTGTCACTTATGGCTTACTGCAGGGATTCCCCCCCTCCTCTCTCCGATCCTCCAGCGCTGAGTGGAGGAACAGACGATGAAGGGGGCGGGCACAGCTGGCTCTGCCTCAAGATAGGCAGAGCCAGCTGTCACTCACGCAGCTGGGTGGATCTCGACAGTATTGTCAGGATCTGTCCCTGCTGCAGCGCTCTCAGAATATCACTGGCAATAGCCCGCTACTGAGCTTTGGGTCACGGGAGGAGGTTAGTATAGGTCCTTCCATGAACCTAAAGAGAACTATGGGGAATAACACTTACCGTAGAGTTCTCTTTTAAGTGCTGTATCACCTATACTGGGGAAGTTTGTGTACATAAAATCTAGTGCAATTGTTTATCAAAGTACAATCCATGTTCGTAAAGGATTGCGTACAGTTGGAAAGTTAGTGTCCCTACCTATACCAGCTCATAACTGCTCTGGGATCAGTTTGCTCAGATGCCTGTAACTCTCTCAAATGTATTTTTTTGCTTGTAGATGGAAACTGTAACACCCAAAGGAAATACCTATTTAAACAAGAGAACAGAACAGAATTGTACAACTTCTTGTTGGCAGTCAATTGATTTGCAGCACATTACTTTGAATGCCTTGTAGCTGATGTGACCTGTCAGCAAGTGGTTTTATCACTTATTAGCATGAGCATTAAATCGCCCATGGAGTTTAGGCCATCTCAGAGTTAGAACGTTACATGAATGGTGACGGAACCTCTGGATTTGTGGTTCTGCATTCAAGTACCTTATCTGTTGTGTAGCTTTTTTGTGTATCACTCGGCTGCAGTTCCTTAAATCATCTTTAAAGTGGTGCTGACACTGTCCTTCCTTCTGGAGGGGGGCTACTTTTGTTCCCTATGGTCCCATTGTGTGTGTTGTAAAGTAGTCACCACTCTAAGCTCGTCCCCGTCATGGACTACAATCTCAATACAAATTAGTAAAATAAACGTGAGATTGTAGTCCATCACAGGAGTGAGCTTGGAGCGGTGACTACTTTACAACACACACAGGGACCATGGGGAACAAAAGTAGCCCCCCTCCAGAAGGAAGGACGGTGTCAGCACCAATTCAGAGATGATTTGAGGATCTAAACCACGAGTGACATACAAATAAGATACATTTTTTGTTAATAGGGGGCTTGAATGTGTTTTTAGGATTTAACTCCTGAGTTTAGTGTCACTTTCACCCCGTCTTTACTGTACTGGCAGATCTCATTATCAGTTGTAAACTAGATTTGAACAGTGACTGTCCTAACACAGGGTTAACGATCTCGAGGCTTGGGTTGTGCATTGTATGTTAATGAAGGGACGTTGAGTCCGTCACCACCATGTCCTCCTCCACTTTCAAATTGTTCAGAGTAGCTTGCAGTCTGGCTAAAGGCCTGCTCCAAAAAAACTATTAGATTTTTTTTTTTTAATGGGTAAGCTGTGTGAATGGGAACACAAGTTTGAGGGTTTTCTCAAACTTGACTGCAAAAAATGGAAAAACAGATTGCGCAATCCCTAGTTGGAATATTTAAGCCCACACTGTAACATTTTGGCACGTTTCAGTCTTGCCAGCCACTAATGCAACCCAGCGATGATTTTTTTGGCTGCGGGTCTGTGGATGTTTGGCTGCAAGGAGATCCACTTTGACACTTTGCATGCATTGTTGATATAAGGATTTCAGCTCTTTGTAAGAGTGACAAGCTGCTCCGCAGGAATGTGAGGGCTGATCTATTTACTTGTCATTTTCATCAGCTTTTTTGTTGTTGTTGTTCCTCCTTTATTTTTCCGGCTGTGGGAGACTGATTAGAAAGCCTGCTAATTTCAGCTTGTTAAAAAAAAACCCAGAGCATATTGAATTCCCTATTAGTGAGATCTCAGCGATAATTGCTTAAAGACAGCAAAATGAAAAGAAAGTGAGTATTGAAACCGTTGAGGGGAGAGGGAAGTTTTAACAAAGAGGCAGTTGAAAGATTTCCAGATGGAGTCCGTCTACTGGGTTTACCTATGGGTGGGAAGATCGCTGATAAGCTACATGATAATTCACAGCAGTTAATCAAGAAAAGCAAACAGTTTATGATGCATTGGATTAACCAAACTCCAGGTCTAGGAGATAGTTTAGCAGCAAAATTGCTTGGAAGTTGAAAGGTCAGGCCTGAATATAAAATAAATCATTGTTCGCCAGGAGCTCTTAGTAGTGTTTACCCCGGGCTTGATTAGGAAAGTATTTCGTTTACATTAGCTCTTGTATTACATTTCTAAACTCAACCTTTTCTGCCTTTCAATGGATTGAGCTCCTCACAGGTTGAAAAGAAGAGTGTATTGTGTTTGCCAAACAAAATGTCACTGAATAGATGAGTCCCAGGCCAGGTTACCAAGCTCGACTTGGAAAGTGAAAAAAAGTTTGGTGAAAGTTTTGCTTGTAGTATTTGATCGATATAGGTCAAAGCTCATGCAGCTTTGTAGCATGTGTAGACAGTGTTTCTTTAATTATGACAAATATTCAAAATTAAAGTGTATCTAAACCCAAAAACAAAGATGTAATACACTATCTCTCCAAAAGAAAAGTCACCACCTGGATTTAGTTAAGCAGATAGATCAGAGCCTTCCATTGGATGTGTTATGATCTGGAGTTGTTTCAGTTGGTCAGATCTAGGTTCAGCCAAGTCCTGTGCCCAAAAAATGAGGTCAGCTGCCTACCTGAATATACTGAATGATCAGGTTTTCCCACCAATGGATTTTTCCTTCCATGATGGCACATTGGACATATTCCAAGATGATAATGCCAGGACTCATCGGGCTCAGATTGTGGAAGAATGGTTCAGGGAGCATGATACATAATTTTCACACATGGGTTAACCACCAGAGTCCAGACCTTAACCCCATTGAGAATCTTTGGGATGTGCCGGAGAAGACTTTACACAGTGGTCTGACTCTCCCGTTATCACTCACTACAAGATCTTGGTGAAAAATTAATGCAACTCGGGATTGAAATAAATGTTGTGACATTGCATAAGCTTATCGAAAAGATGCCATAATCTAGGTGGTCCAATTAAATATTAGAGAATGTGACTTTTTTTTGGACATATTGCAGCTTACCTGTCCTGATGTGGTGGCTGCATTAGTTTTCTGTTTTTAGGCTTTTTTCACTTTATTTTTAACTGGTGATCCAGTCAGTAGGGTGGGTGGCTCCACTCTATAGAGGAGCAACAGAGCCACCCATGGACTGCAGCATTATCACCTCGTGGGAAGGTTGGTATTAGATTGATTAGCAGATATAGATGGACTTGACTAACAAAAAAAATCCAAACTCCAGCTAACACGTTCTTCATATTTTTTTTTCTAACGTTTTTATTTACTTTTGGGATACATAAATGGATAAAAGATGATCAGTGGTAAATGGTTTGTTTCAACTCCTACCTGCCACTTTTGCTGGGCAGTTTGGTTTGTTAACGGAAGTTGGAAAAAAAAAAAAACTAATGCAGCCACCACATCTAAGAATTGGTAGGCTGCAAAATGTTAAAAGTTTTGGGTCTAGGCTTTAATTAATTTGATTATGTGGAATAATATAATATTATTCAGTGAAAACAGTTATGAACAGTAGGATATATAAAGCTCATGTTTTGTTTACAAATGTGGATTTTAACAATACTTGTGCACTTCTTTACTAACCCAGATATATAGCTGATGAGATTGCCATGCAGGTTACAATTTGATTGTATACATTTTCATATAATCTGTTTTTGATTTACCAAAACTATGGTAGCCAGCCTAAGCAATCTATCAAATCTATATCTAGGGGAAAGTGTAGGAATGCCAGATTGCAAAGATTTGGTGACAAGCTTTGGATGAAAGCTCTCATGTACAGAGCCCTCCTAACCCTCACATATTGAATGTTATTGTAAATGTACACTGTCAGCTAATGTTACAACAGATATAGTAGGCACGCAAAGGACTTCCATAGGTGTACATGGACAGTATAGTAGCTTTATTGCACCAACATTTGGGCGTGTCCCAACCTGCCTTTTTGTAAGATATTACTCCAGTGTATCAACTACATTGAGACTCTCACCTCTCTAACATGTCTATGTAATAATTTTTCATGCACCCTAAATCCCATCTTTTTTTTTTTTTTCCTTAGTTTTTCCTCTGTTCTGTGTATGTTCCAATGTGTACGGAGAAGATCAACATCCCCATCGGCCCCTGTGGTGGCATGTGCCTTTCCGTCAAGAAAAGGTGTGAGCCTGTCCTCAAGGAATTTGGATTTGCTTGGCCAGAAAGCTTGAACTGTAGCAAATTTCCACCCCAGAACGACCACAATCACATGTGCATGGAGGGCCCTGGTGATGAGGAGGTACCAATGCACAGCAAGACTTCTGTGCAGCCGGGGGAAGAGTGCATTGCCATGGGTCCAAACTCCGAACAGTACACCTGGGTTTCGAGGAGCATGAGCTGCGTCTTGAAGTGCGGCTATGACGCTGGTCTCTACAGCCGCTTGTCCAAGGAATTCACTGACATCTGGATGACCGTGTGGGCCAGCTTGTGCTTTTTATCCACTGCATTCACAGTGCTCACTTTTTTAATTGACTCGTCTCGTTTTTCCTATCCTGAGAGACCTATCATCTTCCTGAGCATGTGTTATAATATTTATAGCATTGCCTATATTGTGAGATTGATTGTGGGTCGAGACAGAATATCCTGTGAATTTGGGGAGGCTTCAGCACCCGTTCTCATCCAGGAAGGGCTAAAGAACACAGGATGTGCTATCATTTTCTTGCTCATGTACTTCTTTGGAATGGCTAGCTCCATCTGGTGGGTGATTTTGACACTGACCTGGTTCCTTGCAGCAGGTCTTAAGTGGGGACATGAAGCAATAGAAATGCACAGCTCCTACTTCCACATCGCTGCTTGGGCGATTCCAGCCGTTAAGACAATTGTCATTTTGATTATGAGACTCGTTGATGCGGACGAGCTGACCGGTCTGTGCTATGTTGGCAACCAAAACATCGATGCCCTCACTGGTTTCGTAGTGGCCCCACTTTTCACTTACTTGGTGATCGGTACTCTGTTCATAGCAGCCGGTCTCGTGGCTTTATTTAAAATCAGATCCAATCTTCAAAAAGATGGGACAAAGACGGACAAGTTAGAACGGTTAATGGTGAAAATTGGTGTCTTCTCCGTTTTGTACACTGTCCCGGCCACCTGTGTGATTGCCTGCTACTTTTATGAGATCTCCAATTGGACTGTTTTCCGATACACGGCTGATGACTCTAACATTGCTGTGGAGATGCTCAAGATATTCATGTCCCTTTTGGTGGGCATCACATCGGGTATGTGGATCTGGTCTGCCAAGACGCTGCATACGTGGCAGAAGTGTTCAAACAGATTAGTGAACTCGGGGAAAGTGAAAAGGAAGAAAAGAGCTGATGCCTGGGTAAAACCGGGCAAAGGGAATGAAACTGTGGTATAGCCAATGGTCGCAAGCAGTCTTGTTTTTGAAAGTGAACACTGCCATGAGTCAAGCTAACCTGCTGTTACTGCAGTCTGAAGCCTCAAACACCATTGGTTGCCATAATAGACCTTTTCAAGATGTTTGCTCTGCAGTTAAATGGTGTGCTGGAAACATACATTTGGCTTCCTTTGTGTCTTGCTCTAAGATGTAAGGGTGGATCTAGATGTAAAAGTGGAGGCCCTCAGGAAAAGCAGAGTGCGACTTGACCACCCAAGACAGCTCTGTGCGACTTGTTACCACTGGGCCTTTTTAAGGTCCTGTCTTTCATATTTCAGTGCTGCATGAAAGCAAGTTTTCTTTCTAGGTTACATTTGTGGTAAAGTCTTATAACTTGTACAGGATTGGAAGGCTACTTCCAAGACAACAGGCTAAGGGACATGTCTACAAAGCAGTGCTAAAGTTCAGGGCACATGTCCTAATGTTTTGCATCCTAGCATCACTAAGTAAGCATGGCCCAAAGTGTATTTTGACATATTTAAAGATACAGCTCTATCATACTAGTTAGATAAAAGACAAAGAGAGCCATTGAACACTGGAAACTAATCAGAGTTTATCTCTGTGGTGCCTTATTAACTGATAAATGTTTTCATTTCTTGTGTGTTATGTTCTAACCAAGTCCCAGTTGTTGGAGTATTACAAACCTTCGATTAGGCAGGTGTGTTCCTAAGAGCTACCTGAAGCATCATTGAAAATGCTGCACATCAGGCCCTGTGATGTGTACCTCTTCTAAGAATAAGCACCGCATCCACATGATCAGGGCCAGTTTCGATAGTACTAACACTATAAACTGTTTCCGGACATGGGGCATGATGGGTGTCTTATGCCATCACCAAAAGGCACCACTAAAGACAAAATTTCCATTATGGGGGATGTTGTATGGTCATACTAGATTGCTGTTTTATGTTCTTTAGTCATCCTAAACTGCATAATGACCTCATGGATTCTGCAAGATTACATCATGCAGCTCTTTGCAATGCAAACTTATATAGATTGTGAATCCCATGCACTATTGGTGTGCACCAAGAGGCTTGGTACCCTCACACCAATAATGAACAATTAACAAAGGGCATGGTCCTACCCTGGATACAGTGGGTACGGCAAACCAATCCCCTCCAAGAAGTACAAGCTCATAAGCTGTTTTCTTACCTTCACATGTAGGGGACTCATCCAATAACACCATGTGCGTATAGAATAGAGGCGGGCATATCTCATGTGGTTAGTTCAAAATGCACTATAAATGAAAATATATGGAAGAAAGCCTATGCTCCTATGGATTTTAAGTAATGAAAACCAATGCACTATTTGCTATGTGACTGTATATAGATTTAGTATACTTTGTGTGGTGCCTTTCTGAAATATAAGGTCAAATGTTGGGAAAAAAACATATGCAGAAAATAACAACTCCTATATAAATTAATTCTCAAGCCTACTGCTCATAAAAACATTGATCATATATAGGAAGCAGGCAATTGGCTCATGCCAAATTCAAATTTCAGCACTGGGAGGCAACAGAATGCAATTTTTCTGCATTGCTTCATTCTTTTAGGCTTATATAAGAAACACCTAAAACCACCCCTAGCCAGGAATTTAATGATGGTGGCTGCACACCTGCCCTGCATCTTTCCCCATGTGACTTCAGATGCCATCAGTTTCCTTGGGTTCTCAGTTTCTAATGGAATGGGAACAGTAGGGGGGACCTATTCAAAAATCACAGCATTGGCTAAAGAATCAGAGCAAGATTTTCATCCATAGCTTGTCTCCACCACCATGAGAGGCATAGGTAGGGCAGCAATAGAGCCAAGACAATAGCACACCATAAGGGAGCATCAGGTAGTGTGAAATTTAGACAACCTGCACCACGAGTAATGCTAAATTTTTATTAACATGACTCTGAAAAAATCAGCCTCTAAAAGAAGAGCCTTAACATTTGTCTTGTGGAGGCAAGTCATTGGCCCTCTTCCAGAGCTACAGCCTCCAAAACAATTTAATCATCTTACAGTTCCTGAGATGTTGAATGTCTGCTTGTCTTGCCGTGCTCTGGGGTTCCATCTGCCAGCTGCTATGTCAAGTAGTGATGTAGGGGCTGTTGGGAGTAACCACAGCACATGGGGGGTACCAAGTATCTGGATGCTAGAGTCTCCAGGACACTGTAGCTCTTGGAGAGAACAAACCCAGGACTTGCTCCCCACCAGAGAGGTAAGTTAGGGTAATTTTTTGGCCACTTTACTTTAAGAGAGTCAGTTTAATAATGTTACATTTATACTGACTCTATGTTACAGTTGTGACTGGTTCTCTTTCAAGAGATTTTCTTCTTCCATATAGAAAGTAGAAGTCTTGTGGCTTCTCCCTTTCCTGCTTTCAGCCACCCAGCTGCTTGCATAGCACCATCTAGTGGCTAAAAGACTACCGCCATTTAGAGCCACTTGAATTTCTTACATGCCAACCCAGACCCGGACTCTCCACAATTATAAAAAAAGCTTTGTTGCGAGGGAAGGCCGATAAGTTCTTACCCTCACCATGATCTAGATGTGCTAGGGATCTGATATTTTGGAGGTTTATAGGTGGATATCTTAGCAATATGCATGCCAATTTTTTGTTTTTGTAGGTCTAGGTGAGTTATAGTTAGAGCCAAGAGAAATGGAGTAGGTGTCATGCCGGACAAAGTTGAAAACCGAGCTGTGATTAGGCCGAGATGCCCGCTGTGTACGGAGATTGTGGCTATGAATCTCTGCCTCATCCACCTGACCTGGCACCTTCGGACTTCTTCCTGTTTCCAAATCTGCAGAAACAATCTCCATACACAGCTGACATCTCTTCGTGGATTATTCGGGCAGATTTCCCTTGAAGATTGAGGAACCTAATCACGGTTCGGTATTCAACTTTGTCCGGCATGACACCTACTCCATTTCTTTTGGCACTAACTATAATTCCTCACGGCCTACAAAAATAAAAATTGGCCTGCATATTACTAAGCTATCCACCTATAAACCTGCAACATTTCCGATCCCTAGCACATCTAGATCATGGTGAGGGTAAGAACTTATTGGCCTCTTCTCGTAGTTATGTTAATAATGGCCTTGTCAACCAGCAGCAGAGAATGAATAGTAATTCATGTAACCTGGATGATGCCAGCACAAAAATAGCCCTTTTTGCCGTAAGACTGGCCGTCTCTGTTTAGTCCTTAGTGAGGTAATATTTTCTAGAGCCCTGCTAAGCTGTGATCTAAATTGCAGCCAGACTGTGCAGAAAGGGTTTTGGAAGGAAGGATTTTTTTTCTAACAAATTGATTTTAATTGCCCTAATTTACACTAATTGCACATTACATCAACCAGGGCCTTGTAAGGAGTAGCTATGTTATTAATGGCCAGGATAGGCCAAACAAGGGCCAGGCATCTATCATAGTATGCAATGACAATAATAAAGCTATCCAGTGTTTTCAGAGGGTATACTTTTTAAATCATCATTATATTGTTTCCCTGAAAGTAATTTTTGTATGACCTCCATGCTTGCTGCTCCTTAAATTTCACAATTGCACTTGTATCTGGCAGCATACAGAACAATCCCCATTGGCCTTTTTTTAAAATAAAGAAATATTCTTAAATGGGAACCCCATTTATCATGGCTGTGAGGCACGAGGAGAATATACATTGAGTTATGCCAAGAGTCAAGAATGTATAAATAATGTTTGTTCATTTTAGTGTCAGCCTATCTGAGCAGTCTGGATTGCATTGAGAAAGAGGAACATTAAAAAGCACCCTCATTAGCAGGGGTCCAACATGCCCCCTGTTGAGTCAGACCCAGGGCCATTCCTACAATGAGGCAGCCTGGAGTTGTTGCCTCAGACGGCATCTCTTTGGGTCAGGTTGGGGGGGGGGGGGGGACAGGTGTGCCTGCTGCCCCATTTCCAGCCAGAGAGTCCAAGGCGGCTAAAAGGCTCTTAGCAACCTGGGACGCTCTGGCCGATGTCCCGCACAGCTCCAACTAACCAGTGACATCATTGTTTGCTCGTCAGGAATTGAGTGGGACACTCTGGCCAGACAGAGCCATTACTTGCCCCCCCATAGAACACCAGGACGTGTACCACCAGAACACGCCGCTCACAGGCAATACGTGTTCCACCAGAACACGCCGCTCACGGGCATTACGTGTTCCACCAGAACACACCGCTCACGGGCAATACATCTATGGACACCCTACTTAGACCTATAACTTTACAATTTGCTGGGAGAAAGAGCTTTGCTGATTGGAGAGCTCTAGCTTTGACTCCTCAAAGTGATTTGGACCTTTGCAGATACACTACTGCTTCCCCACGCAGAGCAAGCGTCTTCCTCTGCAGCATGGTGGTAGGGGACAGGCTTATCTACTCAGGCTGTAGCTGGTTATTAAGGAAAACCGACTGTAAGACTTTACGCCTTTTGTTTTTATACACCTAGAATGTACTTAGCAGATTCAAACAAAATTTAATTGGGGTTTAATCCTAATAAGGTGATTTATATAGGAGTTGTATTATCTCTGTGCAACTGTAGTGTGAGTTTGAAGAGAGCCAACTTTATTGTGCCTTAGAAGTCTAGCGGACACTTAAACAGCGTATTATTGTATTGAGACGGAAATGAGGCCTTCAGCGCTTTGTCTGTACTGCTGACGAAACATCTTCTGACGTGTGGACACGACTTTCCAGGTACAAGTCATCTACTCATGTTAGACATGAATTTGTGAACTTCTGTGGAAAATACAGACACTGCTTTTTATGGGTGTTATATTTTGTATATGTCTTTATTGATATGTCTTGTAAATTTCTAATTTATCACTGTACAAATTTTTATATTTAATTTTTTTATTAAAACAAATAAAAGCACATTTTCGGCTGCTTAGCTGCGTGTCTTGTTTGAAGTGGAACTCCCAGGCCAAACTTAGTTTTTTTTTTTTAAACTGCATCTAAACCCCCCAAAAATATAAAATATTGCAGGTTACTAGTCATTAGATGTGGTAACTGCATTAGTTTTCTTTTTTCAGGCTTTTTTGGACAATTCTTCTAAAACCTCCTTCCTATATCTTTTTCATAACATATTGGGGAGGGGTGTAGAGATAGCTAATTACAATGTAACTGATAACAGTGCGACACACGTAGAGAGCACATCATTTTGACAGGATTTCTGGAAAGATCTATGGGCAGGGCCGTCCTTATAATGAGGCGGCACAGATATCAGTTATGAGAGCTACTTCTGCTTTATGGAAAGGGAGGACTATTTTTATACTTGTTTCCAAACAAGCTGACTCATAGTTCTACGTCTTGCTGAGGGTCAAACTTGCCTCAGAACCAATCTAATCTAGATCTGCGGTCAGGGCCAGATTTCCCACAAGGCCGGCCTCAGGGCAGCAGGGAGTAGAGGGGCAGCAGTTGTGGAATTCATATCTCCTGATGCCCGGGACATGCATTTCCGGGCGCCGGGCGGGTAGTTGTTTTCTACATTTAGCCCTGCTTTGGATAAGCAGAGCTAAATGTACAGTGGGGAAGCCGCCGCTTGTTTTCTACAAGTGATCTTGGCTCAGTCGCCTGCAGGTCTGCCATTCTCCATGGGGGGGAGGGGGGTGGTTGGCGGGTAAGCGGGCGCATTGAGGAACCTGGCCTTGGGGCAGCAGAGAGAGTAAATCTGGCCCTG